TGTTTACTGCAGTTCCTCCACCAGCCTCGCTGTTGGCATTCTCTTCTTCAGCTGGCATTCTGCAGCAGCTTTTCTTAAGACTTCTGTTTTGCTTTTGATGCATGCATGCAGATTGTATTCTACTATCTGGCCTCGATCTGAAGAGCTACACTTGCCTTGGTGAGGGCAGCATGTCCAAAAAGGGCTGTATTTGGTAATAGTTCAAGCATTGGACAAGATGCAGGGGAAGGCTCAGGATTCAAAGCTATGTGCTCAAGCAGTCTAGGAGGGTTTGTAGCTTCCCGGATACGAGGCTGGCCAAATGTTTCTAGTTGTCCTAAACGTTGCCACGGGTTCTTGCAGAGTTGTGTTTTCTGCCCAGGGGTCCCAGGGGTCATCTCCGTTTTCTGCTGACTAGACAGACGTATCTCAGGCCTCTGGGTCAGCTGTTGTGCTGGGAAGCTGATCTCATAGCACAGTGGGAGACTTTTTTTTCTTAGACTGGATTTTCTTCTGTAGAAGTTGGGTCATCCAGTCCAGTGACTGGAAGACACCGTGCTTTTCAGCATGGGTGCTAGCTGCTGCTTCTCTTTGCTGACAAGACTAGCTCACAAGAAGCAGTCACCAGGCACCCATTGTCCGGATGCCTGGTGTACTGGTATTTTGTATTCCTGTGCTTTGCTCCTGACTGTTTTGGGGTTGTTAAGGGAAAGTCAAACTTTTGTCAGTGTGACCTTGAGGTCAGTATTTATCCCTTGCCTGTGGCCTGGCTCCAGAATCGTCAGTGGCCATCTGCCTTAGTCTTCATCACCGCAGGTCCTGAGGGCTGGCCACAGTCCTAGGAGCCGCACCAAGGCGATGCTGGAAAGACAGACGTGCAGGCTGCTTACAGTGAAGGCATGAGTCAACAGGGCTTAATGCAGTCAGCTTTCTCACCATGTAATACATCACAATTTTAAATGTTTGTTCTCCTTTTTATTTTGGAAAATAGCTTTACTAGTGAGTCATGAAGCATTGCCAGTGTTCCCATACAAGACGGCTTATAAAGAGTGGGAACGTCAGCATCGTGGTGCAGTTTGCAGTAATTCTCACACCCACTGCAGTGCAGCTCTCTGCCCCCACCTCTCAAGTGTGTAGTGACCTCTGAGGCTAGTTTCCCTGTCACCTTAAGTTACACCATCAAAGAAGACATCCCTGCTTTTCCCACTCGCTTGTTCCTGTGCTGGCATCCTCAGGTGGCAGTGCTCTGGCGCTGTGAACTGGCAGGAGCAGGCATCTCCTTGATTCTGGTGGTGGTCTGGTAAGACATCGGTAGTCTTCAGCCAGGGTTCAGTAATGTTCAGGAGTACTCTGGCTGGGTCTTCAAGTGCACAGCAGTGTTTCTGTGGAGGTGTGTATTCCTGGCTGGAGGGTAATGTTCGTATTGAGGGCAGGGTTTACCCCACTTAATGGTTAGGAAGAGCAGAGTCACCTTGTGTGTATTCCTGACTTTTGTTTGGAAATATTTTGTGTTACTACCAGAAAATACAGCTTATTGCTCTTCTTTATGCCCATCCTGCTAAAAAGTAAGTGTTTGAACAGTGAGGTATGCAGTACAAATTGAGAGCAGATACACTAATAGGCATCTAGACTTAAATATTGCAGAGCAAATTCTCTTCCAGTACAAGAATTTTGTACTGGGGAGGATAATGGAATATAGGATGTGGTATGTCCTTCTGCAGTCACCAATAACTCTGCTCCTGAACTTCACCCCTCACTTCTTGTGAGTCTGGCTTGATGGGTGATCTGTCTTGCTGACTATAGCTCAGTCTGTTGGAAGGGGGAATGCTAAACTAGCCTGAATGTTTTACTGCTGTTTGAGCTATAGTGGTGGCACTGGAAGATACCAAAGGATCTGCCTGGATGAACCCTCAAGCTGTTGTGTGGATTGTGCACTGCATTTTACAGTATAATTGGAAGGACTCTGAATTTTATAAGCCAGGTAAAATAGTTGAACCTGTGCCTTTGTGTAATAGAGGAAGGACAAGTAATATTTAGGCCTTCAGATAGTTTTCTGCTTTATATTTGTTTGAAACTGCTGGGATTCTTCTGTCTTTTTGCGGATAGAGTGCATGTTTAGTAATAACCATTTACTTTGATTTAGTCTGATGAAAAACACTAAGCTGTATCTAAGCTATAAAGTGTCTGTTTTTCAAGCTCTGTAGACAGCTTCATCTTTAAAAATGTTCTCTGAAATGCTAATTGCCACAAAATATTTTTTCTCACATTCATTTGTACGTGGGAATATATTGGCTATATTGCTGTTTTCTTTAGAGCACATGGATGAATATGTGGAGCAGTTCTAACTGGGTTTGGAATCTCTCCCCAACTGGTGCCTGGCTCCTCTTCTGTCACAGCCACAGAATGTGTTTGTGTGTAGGTTTTTTTTTTTGTGGCTGTCACTCCCAGTGTGCCTGCACATCTGAAACTTGTCATATTGGGTTTTCTTGGGGCCGGTGGGGTACTTAGCAGTGAGCCTGGGGTACTTCTTGGTGGCTGCAGCCTGTTTTTCATTGCCACTTTCCCAGGAGCCCTTGGATGACTGCAGTCATCTCATGGATACCTCTAGGGCATGCAGTGGAGAAGGCTTGAGGGACTCTGCAGAGTGGGTGGCTGCTGTCCTCAGAATAGTTCAGGTGGCATATGCTTTGTTGTTGCTCACCTTTAGGAAAGAAGGCTGCTGAAAGTAGGCAAAGGGTTCAAATCTCTTGCTCTGATGGCTGAAATCTGCCTGTAGCCCCCAGGTGAGGCACTCCTGATGGTGAGAACAGCCTGTGTGGGCTTTGCAGGGGGTGTGTCTGCCTGGGTGTTTGTGATCTCCATCTGAAGTTAGTGAAGGTGTATGAGGCTAATGAGTCAGCTTAGATAATCCCCCTTCTCTAAACTATGGATAATAGTACTTCCTTCTGTCACTGTCAAAACTGAGACCCTGAGACATTTTGTGATTGGCTTTCAGTGAAAACTGGGACTAGTACCAGACCTGAGCATCATATGCATGTCTCCTGAGTATGGCAACTACTGTTACCGCACAGATGAATCTCTTATTTCTCTTGTCCTGTGAAGTTTAAACTACAGGAAGGTGTGAAGTTAAACTTGTCCCCTATATTGTTTGGAATAACTGAGAACTCGGCTTTAGGCATTGGCAAAACAAAAGAAACTGAATCCAAGACAAAGCTATGTCAGTAAGGGGAGATTTAAGTTTGTAAAGCATTTGTCTGATTCTATGAAGTGCTGATCTGTTGCAGATGCTGGCACCTTGCTTGTTCTTGTATATTAACTATCATTAAACCAAACTAAAATATATGTGATGTAAGCAAGCCTCTGCTGCTGAAATTTCTTCTTGATGATAAAGCAAATAAGAGGGAGGAGAGAAATCCACAGCATGTTTTTGTCTTTGTGATATGACTTAGGCTCTGAGTGAGTTTAGGAGACAGAGACTTTGAAGAGACTTTGATAGAATTGCTACAGAGAGGAACCATCTGTGTTGTTGGGCTTTTTTTTCTCTTCCTTTTCCCCTCCCCCCCCCCCCCCCAAAAAGCCAGCTAAATATTCACATTGTTCCCCTGACACTGAATGTAGTTGTGTGGTCATGTAACCACAAAAGGAAATGTTTTCCATTGGATCAGTGAGATGATTCAACTCAAATGTACGTACACTCATACTATCCCAAAATCCAGTGCGAGGGAGCAAGCAGGAACGTGCGCACAGGGAGAGGAAGTGTTGTCCTGTTGCAGGGAGCTTTTGGGTTAGGTTGGGTTAAACATGTTATGAAGTATTGACCCTCCTTTTGAATCTCTTGAGCTGCATCTCTTGCATGATTGAATTGGAGGGGAGGGAGAAGAGCCCATCTTCATCCTGAACTTCCCCCAGCCTGGCAGTGTTGTGTAGCTATGGAGACATCCAGTGGCTAGATGAGGAACAGCCTGAACTGTGTCCGTTGTTCAGGCCTCCAAGATCCCTCAGTTCTTAAATTATTGCCCTTGGCTGTGGCAGTGCTAAGAAACTAGAAATTTGACAAATTCAGAAACTGTAGTCACCATACGGTTCTTGAACTGAAAACTTTGGATAACTCATTGTTGTGAGGAAATCCTGTGGTATTTTCCCCAGCAGCCTCAGGAGCAGCTATGTTCTAAGCTGGAAAGGGCAAATCATCTGCAGAGAATTTGGATGGCTTTACTTTTCCATCATCCTGTGGCTGTGCCGGGCACTCTGCAAACGTTAAAAGAGCATCCGTCTTCTCCAAAGCACTTTAATCTCATTTGGATTTGGTGATCACTCTTGCCTACCTCTAGAAATCAGGGACCTGTTGTGCATGTAGGTGCTGTGAAAGCATCAGGAAATAGTTGTTGTCCTGAAGGGCTTAGAGTAACAAAGGAGAGAATCTGAGTGGAATCCATTCATTTACAGCATATGCACAGCGACAGAATGAGTCTTCTTTCGAGGGTCTTTCATAGCTTGAAGAGAAGCGAGTCAGTAAAGGAGGAAACAGTGTTAGAGTAGGAGGTGAGCAGGAATTATTTAGTCGTTTAGATATTAAAAATGCAGAGGCACAAGGTAGTGGAATTCAGATTCTTGAAATGTTTGTTCTGCCTGTGTCAGTCACTGTTACTGCTAGGCCAGTGTGGGCTTGGTTTTAATTTTGCTGTAACTTGGGGTTGGTGCTCCATTATCACGTTGCTTTACTGATGAGGAAGGAAATAGTATTTTCTAAAGATGGGAGGCTCAAAATACTCATACCTCCTCCTTTCCCTGTCTCTGTCAACCCTATTGGACAAGCTCTAGATGAGACTGCCTCTGAATTAGTGTGTGTTTACCTGCAGGATTAAAGAGGTGGTGAGGAGCATGCTGGAACAAGTGGGATGTAAACAGAGAACAGAAGAGGAACAGTTATGAATATAAATAAATACCAAAAACTTTTCTGAACCAACAGGGAGTGAATGCAAGTGGTCCTCTGTTCACAGGAATCTCCTTTGCTTTTTCAGGTCATTGTAAGGAAGCAGATTGCCAGGACTTCCCCCCCTGTGGCTGCCTGACTGCTGCTGAGGTACCCCTTCTAGCCCATGTGGCTCTCCCCATGCTCCAAGAGTGCAACTGGTGCCCAACGCAATGTGTGTTTGTCAAACCATGGAAGTGGGCAAGTATGGCAAGAATGCCACTCGATCTGGAGACCGGGGGGTCCTGCTGGAGCCTTTCATTCACCAGGTGGGCGGCCACAGCAGCATGATGCGCTATGATGACCATACTGTCTGCAAGCCCCTCATTACCAGAGAACAGCGCTTCTATGAATCTCTGCCCCCGGAAATGAAGGAATTCACACCCGAGTACAAAGGTGAGGCCTGTTGTCATTCCAGAATGCAGTTACGTGCTTCAAAAATCTGACCCCTCATGTTCCTGCAGCTATTGATGCCTTGCTGTCTTTTGGTGTCATTTTATTTGTTGTTTTTCAATTCTCTTTTGCAGGCTAGCAATTTGATAGGAACGTTGGAAAGAAGGAAGTCTTTTTTTGTAGGCATGCAGAGTTCAATGTGCTTCTCCTTCTAGATAGAGAATATGCAGTGTGACAGTTGTAGTCTGAAGCTTACGGTTATGGATCTGTAACTGAAGTAATTTTACTACCACGTTATTGTCAATTACAGCCTTGACCTTGAGCAAATGAAGTTAGATTATATACTGAGCATTTGCATATTCCAGTCCCGTAATTTATTGCTTCCTTATCCTGTCTCTTTTATGGACCCATATCAGAAAGCTGCTGAAGCAGGAAGTGTTTCTTACCCAGCACGGAGGTGAAGCCTTATCCCCATCTGCTTTGAAGGAATGGAATTTTCCAGTGTCTGTATTGTTGTAGGAGGATGGCAGCTCATCTGTATCTTTCAGAAGCTTGATATGCTTTTTGCCCTGTGTTTGTATTCAGGTAGCCTTCTGGGGGACTCAGTGTTCCTATTGCCTCTGCTTCTTTGCCACTGTGTGGCATTGGCAAGATGGTGCTTCACAGACAGCTGGGACCACCATCTGTTCAGGGTCTTGTCATTTGATCTGGCTGCAGCCTGAAGGTCTCAAAGCAGTGTCAGCTTACCTACCTGTGTCTGTATGCAGGTCATGAATGAAAGATACAGTCTCCAACAGACAGGTCCTCTTGTACTCTCGAGCCACTCTGGGGCCATATGGTGCTCTAGTGACCCATCAGAAATCCCAGCTAAAGCCTCTGTAGTTACTAGAATTGATATGGTGTCAGGCTTTCCTTGGGAGATGTGTTTAAAAGTGATGAAACTGATAGTCCAGATGGAGACTTGTCATCTTTAAGTCAGATACTTCCTGGTAGCCTAAAGGCATAGGGTGTGCACCTCCACCCCAGTGTGGGATTTTGTCTGAGAATCCCGTGCAGTTTCCTGATAGTCCCAGAAATTGTTCCTGCTGATCTGGGGGAGAAGACTATTGGGGATGATATTTCTTATATGGGCATTTGGATGTTACTGTAAGATTGGCCTTTCACAGAGATATCTTGAGGACCTTGTCCAGGCAGCCAAAGTACTTGGAGTGGCATTTATGTAGTGACGTGCTGGAGTCCTCAACTGCTCTGAAGTTGTCTTAAGCCGCCTGAACCTTGTTAGCATTGTCATGTGCAATAAGGAAAAAGGAGGGACAGTAACGTGATGGCCTGCATCAGCTAAGCAGTGCAAGGTTTCTTCACGTTTGTGGTGAATCATTTGATTCAGTGCATCTAGCATCTGATACTCCTGGCAGCTCCTCAATACTAGTGACAAGCTAATGAAAGATTTTTGTCATTGCGAGTTAGGAGATGGGCTGATAGCCTCATTTTCAGGGCTGAGGGAGTCCCAAAGATGAAGATGTCAGCCCTAACTAGAAGTGTCAGCTGTCCTGCTCTGTCGCTGGCCAGCTAGATACATTTAGTCTGTGCTGTGAAAGATCTATACCTTCCCTTGGACTATGGTGCTTTCTAGGAGCCTTCAGAAGGTCAAATGGGACAGGACACAAATGGTCCTACTTTGTCTGCACCTGGCTGAGGTAGTTTTACTTCCAGGGCCCCCTGTTTTTGTTGCTAGGAAGCCCTGGGACCTTTGCAGATCCCTTTTCTGCAAGACTGGCTGACTTGTGAGAAGAGTGGCAGGTGTCACCTCAGCTTCAGAGCTCTGTATATCATAGCTCAGATGCTGGAGAGCTCCATTAGCAGAGAAAGCACGCTCCTCCTTGGCTAGCGATGTCCTTGTCAACAACAGGAATGCTTCTGCAGGACACTGATACTTATCCAAATGAACTAGATATATATTTTGTATGCTTTGCCCCCCTCAGCATCTTGGTTGACTGTGCTTGACTTTCTCCAGTTTGACAACATTTGCTGCAAGACTGAATGGAAGGAAATAATCACATCCCTCAGCCTACCAGCTGCGCTTTTGTCCTTAATTTCCTGTGGGTGGCAGAGCTTACCCTGCTGCTGCTGCCTGTCCACTCAGGTAGCGACACAGAGCACTATTTGGGGTTTTTTCCTCTCTGCTGTGATGACAACATCTGGGTTCTTGTAGTCTTGAACCTCCTTTCATTGCTCTGGATTTGCTTTGCTGCTCTGTGAGCTACATTTTCCTCTCTCCTGTTAAACATCTGGGTGCTAGTGGTTGTGTGTTCCCTCCCCTGGGAAACAGAACTGACATGTCACTTCTCTCTGGCAGGTGTGGTATCTGTCTGTTTTGAGGGAGACAGCGATGGCTACATTAACCTGGTGGCCTATCCCTATGTGGAGAACGAGGCCCTGGAGCAAGATGATATGCCAGAGAGGGACCAGCCACGGCGCAAGCACTCACGTCGGAGCCTTCACAGATCAAGCAGCGGCACTGAGCACAAGGAGGAAAAGCCTGGCTTGGCCAGTGACAGCACCGAAAGGTAAAACTTTCAGGGCCAGTGACAATATGATGAGCGGGAAGTCTCTTCCCCTTTCAGCTCTGGTGCTCCTTTTGTTGAGGACATTTTGTGCTTCCATACAGTGACCAGGCTGTCTTGCACTTGCTAGCCTGGCACACTATGGCACTGCAGACTGTCTCAGGAGTTTTGCTGGCTTCAGGAAAAACTCATCCATGTGAAATGCTTCTGACACAGGATAACCTTTGGCAGTTTATTGGATGTGGAACCAAGCATGTGGAGGAGATTGAAACACTCTTAAGTCCACCTGGTTATTAATCCAGAGGTTTCTTCCAAGGGTACTTTCAATATGAGTCTCTGCCTCCTCACAGCAGCCAGAGCTCCCTGAGAAACAAGTGTTCCTGCTTACTCTGTCAATTACAGTACAACCTAGCAGAGATGTTAGATAGACCGGATCCTTGAGCATGGGTCCACAGCCCAGGGTATTAGTGAGGATTTGCTGTTAAGAAGGTTTGTATTATGTGAAGTGTGGAGCAGGAGAAGGAACAGGAGATAGTTGTGCAAGGGGGGGATGTGACAGTCATAAGTATCTGGAGAATGCATGCATTCTAACAGGCAAGTTTGTTCTGTCTTTATACCAGCAGCATCCAGGAAACGAAGAGTCCACGGGTGGACTTGCACATCCATTCAGATGTTCCATTTCAGATGTTGGATGGGAACAGCGGTCTGAGCTCTGAAAAGATCAGCTATAACCCCTGGAGCCTGCGCTGTCATAAGCAGCAGCTGAGCCGCATGCGGTCAGAATCCAAGGACCGAAAACTCTACAGTATCCTTTGGGAAGCAGAACTGAGTGTGTCAGGTTGCTGCTGCTGCCCCAGCCTTACATGTTTGTGCCTGAGGCAGCTAGGCCTGCATTTCCTTTGGCTTTCCTATCCTTCACACAACCAAAGTTGTATTACGTGTTTCTTTTCACTATTCCTTCCCGCTTCCCATACAGTGACACTAATGTCTGACACTGATGCTCAGAGAAGCCAGGTTTCTGACTAGATCTCATGTTTTCTTTCTACTCTGGGCCTTCTCTTTGTTGGTTTATGTTTTGAACTGTAGTTCTTCATGTCAGGCTTTGCCTGGCAGCTGATGCAAGTCTACCCTGTTTGGTAATCCCTTGGGAGGGAGCTGTGTTTGTCCTTGTCACCTTTCTTGAGTCTCTTCCAGTTCTGCTGTATCCTTCTGGAGACAGTGACCAGAACTGCAGACAATACAGAAGATGCAGGTGAACTAGAGATTTAATGCTGTTGCCTCTCCCCTCCCTCATAATTCCTAACAAACTCTCTTGTTCTAAATGCTGTTTTGTTACCCCAAGATGCCATTCCTGACTGGTAATAGTTGTCTCTATATTGCTTTATGCATTAAGAATCTTTTTCTCCTTATGTTTATCATCTTGCCTGTAAACTCTAGTGAATTTCGCCTGCCCATTTAATGGCCAAGTCAGTCTCACAAGATCCTTGTGGAGTTTTCGCAACTGTTCCTCATTTTTGCAACCTTGAGTAGCTTGGTACTTTGAGCAAATTTGTCATCTTGCTGTTCACTCGCTTTTATGGATCACTTGTTGAAGAGCATGGATCTCCACAGAAAGACCCTGCTGGCAACTTTGGCTGTAAGACCAGTCAGGCTAGTTTGTAGTTCCCCAGATCTCCGCAAATCAGTGTTGCGGTGGCTGCTGTTCAGTCTCCTGGTATTAAAGCAGTGTTAAATGACTTGCACACCTCTTTATTTTCTGTTTGGCATGCGATCTCTTCTCTTGGCATTTCAGTTTGAGAATTCTCTGAACTCAGAGTGTTCTTGCTTGGGAATCTGTAAGCTTTTCCCTGGTAAACAAAGAAGCAAAATATTAAACTTATTTCTCTTTTTAGGGGGGGGTCTCTTCACATCCCCGCCCATCCCAACCCCCTCCTCTGTAGCTCCTTTTGTCCTTTGTCTTTAAACTCTTTGGGCAGTCTGACTGGCTTCTTCATATGGTTGAAGATGGATTTGTTATTTTCTGTGCCTTCACAAATGACTCCTCGTGCTTTTGTCCTGAACTTGCCAGCTTGTGGGGTTTTTTTTGTTTCACCTACTGGAGCTTGATTCTGTTTTCCCCACATAGAAACAAACTTACTTTTAATAGCTGTATTCTTCATCATCTTAACTGTGTAGGCTTCCTTTTCCTATTCTCAAACATGTGCTTTGAGCCTCCAGCTTTTATTTTTAAATAGTCTGCATCACTTGCAGAGAAGTAATCCTCTTTGGCTGTCCTGTTCTTTTTAATCACACTTCCTTAATTTTTATGAAGTTCCTCTTTCAAAATCAAACATCGTTGATGATAGAATTTTTTTTTTTTTTTTTTTGAAATGTTAAACTTCCTTGCAGGTTTAACCTAGCTGTGCTCTGGTTGCCATTTCAGTGTAACATGTTGAACTGTGCCCTGCAGGGCAAACTTCAGGGTTGTGTTTTCCCCTTTGGGACAAGCTGCTGCACTGATTGTCTGGGGTTTGTTCTCAGCACTGTGCCCTAATGGAGGGTTTGCCCATTGTGTGTGCTGGTAATTGAAGGCTCCCATTACTGTTCTGTTTCCTGCCTTTGTAGCCTCCCCAGTTTCCCCATAGTCTTGCTGTTCTGGGCAGGCCAATAGCAACAATACTGTGCTATTGCTTGAGCCTTGAGTTTTTGGTCCGTGGGGATTGTATTGTTGATCCATATGGTTAAATTGCTAATTTGATTAGACTTTAAGCTCTCCCTTAACCTATCGGCAATTCTTACTAGCATACCGTGTCTTTCCTGACACCAGCGTTTTGCTCGTTGGTTCCCCCTGCTGAGTTTCCAGTATGCCTGTGTGTGACCTGCTTGTTTACTGTTGGCCATTCTGCTTGCCAGGCTCACTTCTTCTACCAACAGTCAAAGCCTGGGCACCGCTGTTTGCATTTTGTCCTTTTCCTCACCTCCCCAGACGGTTCGTTCCATCTGTTCTTTGGTTCCTATCTGTTTGTTGCCTGACCCTATCTCACGCTGGCCCAAGTCCCTGTCTGTGGTGGCCCGGGGGAGCGGTCTCTCTGACAGGTGAGCTCTCCTTGACGTGTCTCCCAGAGTTCCTTTTGCTGGAGAACGTGGTGCATCACTTCAAGCTTCCCTGCGTACTTGATCTGAAGATGGGGACCAGACAGCACGGAGACGATGCGTCCGAGGAGAAGGCTGCTCGGCAGATGAAGAAGTGTGAACAGAGCACTTCAGCCACCTTGGGTGTGCGCGTTTGTGGGATGCAGGTAGGGATCCCAAGGCTGCAGGTGCTGCACATTCCTTTTTGCAGCCCCATTAGACCTCCCAGTTAGTGTTTTCTGCTGAGCACTGAGTTACAGTGTCTTCCAGTTCAGGTAGGTACATCAGTGTTCATGCTACATGATTTTTGTCTTCATTTCTAAGCCTAGAACAAAGGAACCTGCTTCTTCTGAGATGGCCTGCTTTATCTGAAGCTTTTTTGTTCACAGACAATTAGGGGATTTTCTGATAAAATGATTTTTGTGGCTTAGTGTTCAGCTAGAATCATGGTGCCTGGGCAGGGGGGTGTCCTTCCATCCCAGCATCAGCTGACACTTGCTCCTGTACTGTATTGAGAGTTAAGAAGTCGCTTTCCTCTTGCGGCTCAGCTCTGCACACAAGGATTTGCTGCCGGTGCTGTTGTGCAATAGTCAACTCCTTTCCCCACCCACAGAAGGATCTTGTAATCCAGATCTCTGCCCACAGACTCTGAAGCAAATGAGGGCCCCTCATTAGCACATGCCACATAATAATGGCAATACATGCTGGCAGCTCCTGCTGCCAGAGGATTGTCCCAGTTGCTGTCAGCTTTGCCTTTTAAGCCTTGCGGTCTGTTATGCCATGCCTCTTGGGGACACTTGGACTGATAAGCTGCCTTTTGGGTGTCCTGGGAGAGAACCACTGCATGGGCACCCTGGCTGTGCCTGTGGGATGCACCCATGAGCTACTTTGGGATTCAGGGAACAGGCAGAGCTGTTTCCTGCTCGCTCTTGGGCATGGTGGGGACAGAACAAGTCCCGTCCGCCTTGTCAGTGCAGGACAGCTTAGGGCACTTAACCTGTTGCTCCCACTTGATGTGTGTTTCCTTTGGTGTTCTAGGTCTACCAGCTGGACACAGGACATTACTTATGCAGGAATAAATACTATGGACGCGGTCTTTCCATCGAGGGCTTCCGCAATGCCCTTTACCAGTATCTCCACAACGGCATTGAGCTGCGCAAGGACCTCTTTGAGCCTGTCCTCGCCAAACTGCGAAGCCTGAAGGCGGTTTTGGAGAGACAGGCCTCCTACCGCTTCTACTCCAGCTCCCTTCTCATCATTTACGATGGGAAGGACAGCAGGGCAGGGATGTTTGTGGAGCGCCGGCCGGAGACGCGCCTGAAGCGGGTGGACAGCTCTCTCCCGGAGAGCCTTCAGGATGGTGGCAGCACGGAGCCCGGCTCCTCGGCCCAGCCCAAGGTGGACGTGCGTATGATTGACTTTGCGCATAGCACGTTCAAAGGCTTTCGTGATGACCCCACTGTGCATGACGGACCCGACATGGGTTATGTATTCGGGCTGGAAAGCCTCATCAACATCATGGAACAGATGCGCGAGGAAAACCAGTAGCCCTGGGCTACGGCCTCTTATTCTTGTCCTGGTGGCAGGAGCAGACACGACCACCTACTACCACAGGAGAAAAAGCAGACAACTCTGGTTTTAAACAATTGTATTGCTCCATTGTTTTTAAATGTACTTGGATAGAAGAGCTGAGGGGAGGCAGGATGGAAGAGCTCCTCATGCCAACCAGACGGTTCTGACCGCACTAGCTCTGCCTTCTGGAGGAGGCTCTGTAGATGCTTGCTGGGTTTTGGGTGTCCCGGTTCTTTGCTCATCACGTGTGCGTTCTGGAGGGAGGACCTGGACGTAGGGAAGAGAAAGCAGGAGGGCCTGGGGCTCTTCGGGGGGCTGGAGCTGTGGCGTGAGGAGCCTTCTGCCTCAGGAGCCCCCAGGAGAGCCTTCCCTTTGAAATTCTCCTGAGTTATTTGGAAAGGGCGCTCAGCTAACAGTTGGCAGCATCTGTGGGGCTGATGGTGAGCAGCACAGGTGCTGGTCTGTGCGTTCGGTGGCGCTAGCTCTGCCCTGGGTTTTGCCGATGGGGCTTTGCTTTTGATGCTGCCTTTTTCTGCTGTTTGGGTACTGTGAATAACCAACCCAAACATGGAAATAAAATGACCAAATGCAACCCCTGGCAGAGCTGCGGCCAGGAGGGAAAGCCGCACATCTGGAGTTGTGCTTGAGCCCGGGGCCTGCTCCCTCCCCGACGGGGTGGCGCGGGCAGGCCTGTGTATGGGCAGGCACTGGGCTCCGCGAGAGTAACTCTGCCCTGGACCACTGACCAAGCAAGAACTCAGCTCATGGGCTAGCAATAGTATCTGTAGCAGTTAACGCGACCCCAGCTGTGCAGCGGGGCGTTTTGGACCATTTCAACCCTTCCTGTTGTGTAATGTTGGTCCCACAGGTTGCACGCGAGTATGTCCCTGCAGCGTAAGGCTGCCCTCTTCCCCCGGTGGGCCTCTGCCCCACAGCCCCTGCTCCTCCGGCAGGTCCGTGGAAGGGGAGGCCAAGGGTTAGGGCTGTGACCCCCCCCCTCTTGTCCCTGCGGGTCTCCAGGGGGGCAGGTGAGGGGGGACCTGGCTGAGCGGTGAGTGCCATCGCCTGACTGTTTAGCTTTTGCTTCATGGAGTTGGTGTTGCCCAAAATAAATGACCAGCCAGCTGGGCTGTGCTCTGCTGCTGGGGCTCCCTCCTGGCATCGGTGCTTTACCCACGGCTTCCATTGATGAGGGCATTAACGTTTGATACTGTGGCCTGGTGGTACTGAACTGTACCCAGCTCTGCATCACACCCCCCCACACCCCCCTTTCTGTGCTGGGACCCCCTGGTTGCTCCCTCCCCTGTGTCACTGACTTGTTCCATGGCGTTACCATTACCCTGGCTGCCTGAGAAACTGCCTGGGTACCTGCAAAGCCAGGGTTGGGTGTATTTTTTTTTGGTTTTGTTTTTTTTTTTGTACTTCAGGAAAGCTTGTTTGGGGAATACTCGCATGTAGCATGTGTGCCGACTCTGTGTGTGCACGGTCTGCTTGGAAAGCGTCGGTGCTCGGCTGGCAGCCAGCCGTAGCTCCCACGGTGGGCGCAGGTCTGCGGCACTGGGTGCGGAAGGGGGCAGGGGGCGGGCCAGCTTTGTCCTTGACCGCACCTCTCTGCCCGTCTCCCAGCTACTCCGAAGCTTGCCCTTACCCTCCCGCTCTCTGGACGAGGACCTTTGACGAGTAACCCTGCCCTGGGTTACTTCTCCGTCGCTTCTGCGGGTGGCTGCCCCGCCAGGCAGGGTTCCAGGAGGGAGCGGGTCTGGTCGAGCAGCCGCGGGGGCAGATGCCCCAGGTACCGGGAACGGCCGCCTTGCCCTCCCTGGCCTTGTCCCCGGCGGGCTGCGCTGGGGCGGCAGCGGGGCCCTTCGTCCTGGGGAGGGGCTCGGCCTCCCCCCTTCCTCTTCCTCGCTAGGCCGGGCGCGGGCAGGGGACGGACGGGGCGCGCTGCCTGGGAGCCGCCGCGGTGGGACTCCCCAGCTTGTACATAGCCTTGCCCCCCCACTCCCCCCGTTTGTTTTTACATGAATAACCGCCCTGTTTGTGCTTCACAGAGAACCAAAAACCATTAAAGGATCTGTTTTTGTCCGTGGTGTGCCGTGTCT